CACACACACACACACACACACACACACACACACACACACACACACACACACACACACACGCATAGACACACATATATACACTTTCTTTTTCTCCTATATCTCCCCCTCCTCTTCCTTCCACTCTTTTCGCTCATCACAAGAATAGAGCAGAAGCGCAGATGTAAAGAGACAGGCCAAAAGACAGAGATGGAGGCAGAGAGAGACGACGAAAGGAAGAGACAGCGGGGTTCAGTCCTAATCTGTTGACAAGAGGGGATGCTTGAGGATAAACAGAGGCAGAGCAGGAGTGCTCAGGAAGCAGAGAGGGAGAGAAAGAGAAAAGAGCCCTACTGGCTTCAGTCTCTGCTTCCACAGCAACCCAGCTGGACCATCAATGTTTGATGGTTTACATCAGCAAAGATTTACACCCAAACTGGGCTCCAGGGGCACCCGAGGATCCTCAGAAAGGCTTCTCAAGATGTATTTAGAAATGTTCAGTCAAAAGCAACCGGACTTCCTTTTTACCTTCAACCGAAAACACTTTCATTCAAATCATCTTCAAAAAATGTAAACTTTAAGATGACCTGGATAACGGCAAATCTTTACAATCCCTCGAATTGTTGATTTGACTCGCTATGACTTCGTACAGTAATAGACTCTGTGAGGCAAATGATTAGTTTCAAGCTCTCTACTGTAACGCCCTCAAACAGTTGTATAATTCCTCTCTGAATCATCAAGATAACAAAAATACTCTCTGATGGGGGTTTATGGGTGAAGACATAAATCTCTTTTGGCATTTACAGCATGTAAAGATTTGGAAAACTGCACAACAACACAGTTATAGCCCGTGTAGTTAACGGGAACATTTATATGTAATGAAACTATCTATTTAAAAATTAAGTTTCACGTCTCAAAGATAAATACTAATGGATTTCTTCTACCACTACTACCTAACAGTAACAACTGTTACACTCGATCTGTGATTTTATTACAGTGTTTCAAGTAGGTGTGTCCGGAAAGTTCTGACATCAGTATGAGTGTAGAGGGTCATGTTGATGGGTGTAACATGGCAGCCAAGGCGGGCTGGACCTTTGATGCTCGTTGTTTCCCTCTTCTCTTTCCCTATATTTCAATTTTCCCTCAATTCTCACTGTCATTACAAAGGCAAAATACCAAAACTAAAAAACTAAAACAACAAAAAAAGAAATTTTAGGCTGATTTGACCTAATTTTGTTTTAGTATTTTTGGCCAAACTTTTCCTCATTGTATGGATGGGATACTCATTTTTACATGACACAATAAACCTGAGCGTTAAACAGTGTTTTAAATAAAAATTGAGGTTTCATATTATCACTACTGAAATAAGTAGTCCCCTATTTATATCAGTAGAATTCATTCAGAACTCTTCTAAGGAGCTTGGAAAGAAAAGCGTCTGGACTTTGTTAAGTTGCTTGAAGACATTTCACCTCTTATCCGAGAAGCTTCTTCAGTTCATTTTTCATTTACAGTTCTTTCTCGGATGAGAGGTAAAACATCTTCAAACAACTTAAAGAAGTCCAGACATTTTTCTTTCCAAGCTCCTTAGACTATGATGACCTGGATGACTGAGAACCTTCACAGACATTCAGAACTCTTGTTATTGCATTTGGGATGCCACTGTGCAAAATTAATAAATTAATAAGTCAAGGTCATCTGCAAAGAAGTTGAACCTGCTTACCTTATCCTGTTAAATGCACCCTGCAGTAGGCTGCTGGCTTTTGCAAGCCACATATCTGCATGGCATGATAAGCGTTTGAAATTAGTTAATCATGACATCAATTATATTTGATTGCCTCAACTTGTTCCTACCACTGCATCGCCTTGTGTTTTTTGTTTTTAGACCCAGTACTTTTATACAAACAAATCTACAGTCTACAATGAAATTACAAAAACAAAGCACACTTTGAATTTCAGCCTTCAAAGGTCTGGGGCCTCAGAGCAGCACCTCACTTTACAACAGATTACAAAAGAGCTTTTGTCAGCACCAAATCCAAACAAATGGCTTCTTGTGCACCGTTGTAAATATCAAAACTTTTGAACAGATATTAGATACATGCGCGAGCAATATTTATTTGCACCGGTGCTTCACTATACACAGCTA